AAATAACTTTTTGTCATATTTACTGAAACTTTCACTATATCCTGACAGTAGTACATGAGACAGATAATCTGTGAAACAATCAGGTTCCTCTGGCTCCTCCCAGTCCTGCTAATGGTATTCACAATAATCCACCGGGCCTCAGGCTTGAAGGTAGTCGATTGTTGGGTCTCATTCATTTCTGATTGGTTGTTTTTGTTCAGGCCTGGTGGATTCTTGCAGGTGCCAGAATCGTGGAAAACCATTTCTTAAAGAGTCGGAACCTTGCTATCGTACATTTTTACAAAACTGTGCAAGTAAAATTTCTTTAAAGCTAACAGTATTTTGCCGGTGTAAAATACTCTAGTACTTTTTAAATCCCTGGTGAAAATAAATACAACATTCAGTCTCTATAAAGTAAGAATCTGAACTCAAAACATAAGTTACCCAATGTCTGGGGTGGCATCTTCTCACCAGAGGGTGCCATTCTACTTTTATAGGTTGAATGCTGAAAGTTGATCAGGTCTGTTTGTCCCGTAGGATGACATCATCGATGATGTCGACAGTTTTGTGGCAGCAGCGGAGACGCTGAAGGAAAGAGGGGCCTACAAGATCTTCGTCATGGCAACCCACGGTATTCTTTCCTGTGACGCCCCCAGGTTCATAGAGGAGTCGGCCATTGATGAGGTGAGTGTGTCAATACACAATATTAATATAATATACAATAGGTTGTATACACACAAAATTAACTTGTCACTAGAGCACCAGCATCTCAGACCAAAACAATGGGTACCACGGCTGACCAGAGTCCAGTGACAAAACCAGTTATTTTGCCTAGCTAATAATCGTTTGAAAGAGATTTCAAACTGGACTCAAATAAGATAAAACTTACCAAAACCGCCTTTGTTAGTCTTTCCAACAATCACTGATGCTGATTTGGTCAAAATAAACCCTTATTCTGGGGTTTTCACCTACTGGAAGACAATTAGACATAGTATTTTAAAATGAAGATTCACTTTTGTTTTGCTGTTGCTATTATGGCAGCTTTTGTTGTAGCTAATCCTTGGGGACAAATTTTCTTGTCAAAGTACGTCCACTAAATGTGCTTGTTGCCACTGACAGGCTCAAATTGTTATTCTGAATGTCTGACAGCATTATGGAAAGGATCCCTAAAGAGAGACTCTTTGGTTAACCAGAAACAGCTGTAATATCGCCATCGCTCACCAGACTTC